GCGAGCCAGACTGCTTAATGGGTCACAAACAATTTTTCCGCCGCAGGAAGGCGAATGCTGACTGCTTCGTGGATGAGGAGTTTAAAGATCCTCAGCCGATCATGGAACCATGCAAATGTACGGCAGAAGATTTCGAATGTGAGTTCAAAGGCAGCGAGGACGGAAAGAGTTGTATCCCGGCCTTACTGCCAACGCCCCCAGATGGGTGCAAAAACCCCGATGATACCTTCATGGGACCATCTGGTTGGAGACTGATACCAGGTGACACTTGCATCCGTGATGGCGGCAAGAACCTTGATCACGATATTGAGTGGCGTTGCAAGGATGCAGGCAATGTGCCCACATCTGGCGAAATTAGCGTGGAAAAACAATACTTTGACGCAAGGCAATTCAGTGCCTACTATTACCTAGAACGTCAGTCAAGCAGTTCTGGTAATGACGAGACGATTGTTATGCTCACCAGTGAACGTGCGCTCTATGTATCACATGATCATGGGAAGACATGGAAGCAGCCACTGAAAGGAGAAGCAATCAACAGAATCGTTCCTCACCCATATAACAGTGATGGTGCTTTCCTCTTGACGGACGGTGCTGAAGGCTTTTGGACTGTTGACCGTGGCCAGTCATTCAAGCCTTTCGATGCACCAGCGCCTCCGACTGAGGAACGCCTCCCAACTCTTACGTTCCATCCTCAGTACCAAGACTGGTTGATCTGGACAGGGGCCGTTGATTGCGGATCTGGTGATTGTCACTCCAACGCATACATCAGTAAAAACCGCGGGGACAATTGGGAGCTGCTGCAACGCTATGTTCAAAAGTGTGAATTCGAAAGCAGGGAAGGTCGCGAAGATAGCACGAACCTCATATTCTGCGAGCAATTCGAGAATGAGAACAGGAACAACCGACTACAACTGATATCCAGTGAGAACTGGTTTTCAGACTCGAAGGTCCATTTCAGAGATGTCATCAACTATGCCACCATGTCCGAGTTCATTGTTGTGGCTTCTAGAGATACAGAGAAGCCCGACTCTTTGGTGGCGAGCAGCAGCGTCGATGGTAAGACATTTGCAGAGGCAAAATTTCCTCCCAATGTCAACGTCCCTGTCCAAACGGCATATACCGTGCTGGAAAGTTCTACTCACGCCGTTTTCCTGCATGTTACAGTAAGTAACTCGGAAGGGGCCGAGTACGGATCGATCATCAAGAGTAATAGCAACGGAACTTCCTATGTGCTCAGCCTTGGTGCGGTGAATCGAAACTTCCGGGGATATGTTGACTTTGAGAAGATGCAAGGCATAGAAGGCGTGGCAGTTGCAAATGTTGTCAGTAACGTGAACAAGCTGTCCAATGGAGAGCCGAAAAAGTTAAGGACAATGATTACCCACAACGATGGAGGGCAATGGACCTTGCTTTCTCCCCCAAGTAAGGATGCTGAGGACAAGGACTTTGGGTGTTCTGTTGAAGGAGAAGGCGTTCCTGGCTGTTCGCTCCACCTTCACGGCTATACAGAACGCAGGGATGAGCGGGACACTTTCTCGTCCAGTTCAGCAATCGGCTTGATGCTCGGAGTCGGCAATGTTGGTGACCACCTCGGTGGCGAAGACGAGGCCGATACGTTCATAACCCGAGATGCTGGCTTCACATGGAAGTCGGTCAAAAAGGGCAGGTACATCTGGGAGTTTGGTGATGCCGGCTCCTTGATTGTAATCGTGCCTGAGTCGAAGCCGACCCAAACTCTCTACTACAGTCTTGACGAGGGTGACACGTGGTTAGAATTTGTCTTCTCAGACGTGGAGATGCAGATCGATGATATCTCCACCGTACCATCCGACACTTCCAAGAGCTTTCTTCTCTGGGGCAAAGAGCTGAAATCGGATTACCGAGATAAGCTCGCGACAGTAAGCGTTGACTTCAGTGGGCTCCGTTCCTCTTCGTGCAAGTTGGACGAGAGTAAAGCTGAGAGCCATGATTATTACCTCTGGGAACCAAAACATCCGTTCCAGGACGATAACTGCCTGTTTGGCCATGTTGAGCAGTATCATCGGAAGAAACCGTCAGCTCAATGTTGGAACGACTGGCGTGAGCCTCATGTTCACAGCATCGGAGAGAACTGCGCCTGCACGAGGGCTGACTTTGAATGGTAAGTAGTCTTCGTCAACCGCCCCCCTCCCCTTATTTTTCATTAGCGCTACTTCTTACCTATAAATGGTGCATTTGCTGATTCGGAGGCAGTGACTACAACTACGAGCCCCAGAGTGATGGCAGCTGTGCTCTTGTTCAAGGACTCGCTCCTCCTGATACCATGGCTGTATGCAGAGAAGACCCTGACGCATATCAATACTGGGAACCCTCAGGATATCGGCGTCTCCCTCAATCAACGTGTCAGGGTGGACGTGAAATGGACCATATTGTTTCCAAGCCTTGCCCCAACAGAGAGGAAGAGTACAAGAAGAAGCATGGGATTAGCGGTGTTGGTCTTTTCTTCGCGATCGTCATCCCTATTGCTGTAGCAAGCGCTGTCGGTTATTATGGCTATACTAGGTGGGACGGCAAGTTTGGCCAGATTCGGCTCGGGGAGAATGTTGGTACCTCCCAGGGTCTGCTTTCGCGAAATTCTCTTCTCATCACCGTCCCGGTTGCCATAATTGCGGGTGCGGTGGCCGTCATCAAGGCGCTCCCACTGCTAGCTACAAGTCTCTGGCGAAGCGCGAGTGGATATGTGCGCCTAGGACGCAACCGGGGTTACTCAAGGCCTTATGCGTCTCGCGGATCATTTGCCGCCAGGCGCGGCGACTATACTGGTGTTGTTGACGACGAGGATGAGCTTCTTGGTGTAGAAGATCTCGAAGCGGATGAAGAGGAAGAGCTGTAATATGTTGGCTCGTCCTGACACCTGTCCGTCAACCGTGTCGGGCCCATGAGGTTATGTTTTATTATGAGAACGTCATGTATTGAAATGTGTCTCTATGTACGCGTCTTTCGCGTCCTCCGTCTTTATTTTTCTTGTTCTAATCGCCTATATAATGTGCGTGTCATAGAGGTGAAGTAGAATCAGTGCTAATGGGTATCTTGCAATAATCTGGAGTTTACGAATTCATACCAATTCGGGAACTACCCAAACAACTCCAGCCATAACGTTTTAGACGTAGCAGTAACATGATAATCTACGGAGACAGTTTGATCCCATAAAGCCGTGCAGGGGGTTTGAAAACTGCATGTCACGGTACAAACTGAGACATCGACTCCTCAGAGAAGAGAAGTAAGAGTCTAATATGAACATTCTTGCTTGCCCTCATATGAGGTGCTTATAACGACGACTCAATTAGAAGGCGATGTATATGATAGAAGCCTGGATAGCCCCTTCGATTCATATGAGCATATTATTTTACCTTGTCCTACGCGTACGTTTGCTTGAAAAGAGCAGCACCGTAAAAATTTGGATGCTCAATCATAATATAAGGAGAGCGTAGCTCAGCATCATAATCATCATCTGTCTCTCCCAGGAACCAACTACCCTGGGTAATTCAACCACCAATCAACAAACACCCTTTCCCGCTGTGACTTCCAACGAACACACCGAGCACAGCAGCGCCAACAGGCAACAGCAACAACAACAACAGCAACCAAAACCCTTGAAAGAAAGAATCACCCACCCGCTTACACATGCCAATCATCCTGCTTTACTCCACAATAGCAACCAATGAGTAATCAAGCAAATCGAATATAATGACATACTTCAATGCTCAATGAGTGAAATCACTCGGGCCGAACGAGTTCGGCAGGAGCTGCAATGCGAGCAAAACCAGTTGTCAGCCACTGATTCAGAACAGAATGGATGGATTGGTCAGATATATTACCTCTCCCATTGTAGTAAGAGTATAATTACCCTCACCATCGTACATAAAAATGGGGAATTCGGGGGTGGTAAATTCACTCATACTGAGAGACACGAATCATTGTAGTTAGCAAGCAAGTAAGTACGTACGTGCGTCCGTGTTTTGTTGTTGTCGCATTATTGTGATGAGGGAATTATAGAACTCCCCGGGTAGCCAATCATTTTAATTTGCTTGCCTTCTTTTTCGCGCAAGCTATTTGCGGGTACAGCACAAAAAATCGGAAAACCAGGGCTAGAGGGTAGAGAGACAGAGAGGGTACGTACAACTGTCTACACATGCCGCATGGCGAAGCGGGAGGTTTGATGTCACTCGCGACAGCAATGGCTTTGAAGTTGCGATGCCCGGCCACCTGCAAAGCAGTCCGACGAAGTAAGCAAAAATGCATGAGTGATTTTCTTCAGTTCATTTTCGACATGTGCAAGGTACAGCAAGTAGACACGGAGATAAAATAGTAAAAAAAAAAAAAAAAAAAAAAAAAGAGGTGTAGATTTGACAGCTTACAATCGCATTTCCAAAGGCTACTCGCTCCGCACAAGTTCCAACGGGATAAGAGGCATTTTCAACATTGGCGCCTTGGACGAATTCACCCGACTCGGTCAGAATGCATGCGCCAACACGGAACTTTGAGTAGGGGCCTGTTGGTGTCGCATTAGTTAATTCTAGATATATGCCATGGCGGCTTTTGGGTTTAGGGGAAGATAGGTGGACTTACAGTATGCGGTGTCCTTGGCGGCGATGGCCTTGGTAGAGAGCGTTTCGAGCTCTTGGGCAGAGAGGTGGTCGGCAGCGTGGACCATGTTTTCTCCTTGTCTAGCTGGATGGCTGGATGGGTCTATTCCCAAGAATGAAAAGTCAAATGAAGTTGACAGGTAGCGGGTAGATAGATATACGGATGAATGTAGTAGTAGTAAGTTAGTAGTAGTTACTGCGCGGGGAAGTGGTCATCTGGACCGGAAAAAACGCCCGTTGTGGTTGTTGTTCATGTTTCCACAACCCCTCTCTTATCGCAAGGATTGACTTGTCTCAGGGTGACTCACGATAATGTTGATAACACGGATAACCAAGAATTATCTATATCAAATCTTCAATTTTTATCTAATCTAGGTGCTTTTCTGTAACCTCGGCTGCCTGTGTTTCAAGGTTGTATCGACTCCCACCCGATATTATCCATGATGTCATCCCTAAAGTAATCGCCAATTGCCTTTTCGGGTTCTCCCCGCACACACGTCTATATCAACAATAAAGTAGAAAAAAAAATCAAACAAGATGAAGATATATAAGATTCATAAGCATAAAATAATAATGGACAGCAAATAAAAAGAAAATTGTAAATAGATCAACACTCCATTTTCTTCTTCGCACCAATACCAGATTGATGGTCTCAAAAGAAGATGTTGGAATCTAACTCGGAACATGACTGTAGGTATCATACGAAAGCGCCTCAACCGGAAAGTGTATAAACAAGAAGCATCAGACGAACGTCGGGGGGAATGAAAGGAAGAATCGGGATGCGAGAGAGTAAAAAGATATAGGGCAAGAGCTGGAAGAGAAAAGAGAATGTGGGGTAGAAGGAAGCCGAAATCAGGCAAAATGATTCCGTAGTCCCTCATAGACGGTGAAGATGAAGGCGGAGCTGGGGGCAGATCGAGCGCAGGTGATGCCACAGCCTCGATACAAAGCCCTTAGTCCTTGCTGTCTCCACAAGGCTTTTGCAACTCCCCAGAATGTCTGTCGTTTGCCGTTGTATGCTCCTCGCGTAACATCCTCTGTTTGCATGCGCGATTTGATCGTATCGGCAGGATAGAAGAGAAAATTGTAGCTGACGCCTGCTGCGGCACCTGCAATCATCTTCTGGTAGATAGGAATGGAATCAGAGGATGTTCCATCTTCCTTGAGCTCTGCAGATGGGGCACGGTATGCGCGGAACAGTGCAGATACCCCCTCATAGCTACCGAACCATGCAGCGCCGCCACCAGTCTCGCGAATAAGTGTTCCCAACTGTCCGCGCCAAAAGCCAAGAAGGCCGTCTTGACGGAAGACAGTGGCTATCAGAGTCAATGGTCCAGGGGGGGTTCCGCCAGACGCCGTAACGGGAACTTGCATCTTGCACTTGATGAGCTCAACCGGGGTAAGCGCAAGGGAGGTAATAGATCCTGACGCAGCGCCGCTGAACACTAGTGCCGAGAAAGGGAGGTCATCGGCAGGGGAGTAGACAGTGGCCTTCAATATATCCTGGATCAGACGGTAGCTGAAGAACAAGCAGCTGTTCTCAATGGCAGCACCTGCCATGGGAGCGCTAATGCCCCGGTAGAGCCCGCGTAGGCCATCTGCTTGGAAGGATTGACGGAAACAATCTAAGGGGCCTTTGTATCTGAGAGGAAGATGATCCGGTTGAGATTGGAGCCGCACTTTGACTGTATCAAAAGGGTACTCGATCACTTTGCCTGCCATTCCTGCAGCCTAGTGGGGCCAAACGTCAGTCATGTTCACGTCCACAAGGGTTGGGCACGACGGTTATCACTTACCGACCCAAACACGATATCTTTGAAGGCCTCAAGGCCCTGGTTGGGCGGAAGTGTAGGCAATTCCATTGACATATCATCATTGATTGCTATCGCATGTTCGGCGGCCGCCATCAGGGAAAAGGTGAATGAGCAGTCGAGCTCGGGTTACACGACACGACTTTGACGGGTGTGTATGCAAGGAGAGAGGCACAGTGGGGGGGGGGGGGTAAAAGGATAGACGAGTCTTATCGAGAGAGCATTGTAGTTTCGCGAGCTGTTCGAGGGAGAGAACGGTCTAAAGGGTATTTAAAGACTTTCAGAGTGATGGGGCGGTCTGGTGACTCGACGAGGGGTTTTGCTTGGAGGTGTGCCCGAACCACGCGCGATAAATTAAGAGAGAGCGAACATCGCTTGCCAGTAAAACGGAACACGAGCCCAAAAGGCCAAGGGGGCAGGGGAAATCGGGATATGAGCGATGGGTGGGGTGGGTAGACCTCGCGGCGGTTGGCTGATTGCGGCGAGTGCTGCAACTAGTTGAGTGTGATCCGTCAGACTTCTCGCCGACAAATCCCTCAATTCCATGCCAGACGGGGCCCGGCGCACCACTTCTGCCGAGATCCGGTTATCTGATCGGTCTAAGATAACTTTTTCCTCAAAACTCGGAGGCCCCGAAAAAAAAAAAGAGGGCAGCGGAGAGCTAAGAGAATTCCATCATCATCCCGTCTGGAATCTCTCTTTTCTTTTCTCTCTTCTTTCACATCCCAACACAAACCCCCCATTTGGTCGATTGACTCGTTTGGCTCTGCCTACTCTCGGTCCGATCATGTCTTCCGCACCTTCAGCTGCTGCCCCCATTAAGGGCATGCGGAAAAATGGTATGAAATTAGCTACCCCACTTTTTTTTCCCTGGCCTTCGAAAATAACTGTTGCTAATGCCTTTCGCTTCTCGGACCCGCAGGAAAAAACTGGCATGATACCAAGAAGCCGTTCCGCCCTACTTCGGGCATGACCTCCTACGCTAAGCGACTGGAAGCACGCAAGCACCATGAAGCCGTGAAGGAACACGAGAAAGAGTTGAAGGAAGAAAAGGAGGCAGAGAGACAGGTGGGATTCAGCCTATGACATGTCTCACAAAAGAGATTGTTAATCTTGCTGACAATCACCTAGGCGCATATCCAAAGAATTAAGGATCGTCGAGCCGCTAAGGAGGAGAAGGAACGTTATGAGAAGATGGCCGAGAAAATGCACCGCAAGCGAGTCGAGCGCCTGAAGCGCCGCGAAAAGCGCAACAAGTTGCTGAACTCTTGATTGCCGTCGACTCTGGTCCTTCTTCCCTTCATTATTCTCCCAGCTTCTTTTCTTTTTCTACTTCTTTTTATTTCGCCTTTGCTGTTGATCACTAACCCGTCTACATCTCGTTCGAGTGGTGGCTGATGTACCCCCACGCCGTAAACTTTCTGTATCATTCACCTTCACACCATGTTTCCTTTCTTGCCGGGTTTGGGAATTACGGCCGATTGATGGCTACTGTTTCATGACAAGGAGTTCGCTGGCGACCGTGGAGTTAGAAATCAACCTTTCAGAATAGTATATACTACAATGGATACACCGAACTATCTACATGGTTCCTGACCTATTCATGACAACACATCATAATAATGTACAGAAAAGCCACGTTACTTTACGCCTCAAAGGAAAAGCACAGACTGGTCTTTGATTTTATACATCAGAATGCTCGGATGTAGTCAAATCACAATGGAAGTATATATTCCGAGGCCTGCTGATCCCGCAAAGGATCAGGGGCCGATACCTTCGATCGGCCAGCGCATGGATCAGCGCTTGGCATCACGTTCAACCACGTTGTGTTTCACCTCTGCTAGCGAGTCGTACGACCGATGGAAAAACATCTTCAGAAACCGACCACCCAGGTTGACCAACGCGTTGAGCAGTGTTATCCGGGTCAGGGCGTGCTAAGGAAAGTGGAGAGGGTTCACTGACCTGGATCCTTCCTGCCCGCCATGGTTTCCCAACCGTCCAAACAGCTGTCCGCGTCTTACCCACCGGCCCATGGCTCTGGAGCCGCCGGAAGCCAGAAACCAGCACCACCACCCAGCTTGCAGCCCTCCAGTGCCACCAGCGACTATAGCGGAAGTCTTCAACTCGGCCAGAATCACCATGGTCGCGAAGTATCTCAACCTCCCGGTCTGACTGGAGAGAAGCATCACCACCAACTTCTAACCTTCGACGCTCCCCGTCCAGATCGCGTTAAGTCTAAATCCCGTTCGAAGCACAAGCACAAGCACAGTAAATCCGGCGACTTTCGGTTTCCCCGAAGAATGAACAACCTCGCCTCGTCCGCTGGTTCTCGAGGTCTTCTGCCAACATGGTCTGGTAGCAAGGAAAAGGATAACGATACCGACGATGGTTTGCTTAGACCCATAACGCAGGAGACAACCTGGTCGCGCTGGAGCTCGGATTCCACCGCAGCCTTGGGTAGTGGGAGCCGAAAGGGCAGTTTACTTGATGTCATTGACCCGAGCAACAAGCTTGGTCCCATCAGGCGTCAAGAGATACGCTCGATGGAAGACCTGGAGCAAGTAAAGAGTAAGAGAAAACAAGGGGAGGAGTAAGTCGATTGTTGTCCGTTCGCATTTGGGATGGTTTTGACTGGTTTGATGATAGATATTTACGGTCTGCCCTGTCAATGATCGGGACCCTTGCAACGGATATCACCCGTAGACTGGATTATACGTACTACAACCTTCTGGAGAAGATTGCCGCATTGAATTCGACCATCGCATCATTCCAGGAACTTTCTAGTTCTACTTCTGCCCTTTTTGACGACTTCCAGCGGGAGACATCGGGCTTGGATAAGGAAATCCGGAAACAGATGGGGGAACTGAAAGAGTTTCAACCCCAATTAGAGAGGATTAAGACATTGGAAGATCGCATGAAGACGGGCCGACAGAGGGCTGAGGGGCTTAACAGTCGACTCGAGGCAATGCGCCATGAAATTGATCGCTGGGACAAGAAAGAACTAGAATGGCAGTCACGAGTTAATCGGCGCCTTCGGATCTTCTGGACTGTGGTGGTAGCTGGCGTGCTCGCAGTTCTTCTCGCTGTTGCGATACAAAATTGGCCGACTACGACGAGTCCAGACCCTTCTGGATTACCTTCGCAAGCATTGTTTCTAACAAACTCGTCGCATGCTCTACCACCAGAGAATGGCCATGAAGCAGTCTCAGATGGCCCGAGGGAAGCATGGCCACGATCTCTGCGGAATCTCCCTTCTCGTCATCATAATCGGCCCTCTGGGGGATCAGTTCCCGTCGTAGCCACGGCTACTAGAGATGATACTAATGTCAGGACTACTCATCCAGACCCACTGACAATATTTGACGAGCTATGAGCGCGCTGGATCTTTCTATTTCCGAGACTCAGGACAACTTTCAAGGCCAGCCTCGAGACTGTCGTATCTCCGTTGATCTAATATGTAAACCATAAATAATGTCATGATACCCATAGAGTCCCCCGAGCATAGCATTTTGTACATTATGCATTCATCGGCCCATTAAATATACCTCAGGGCGCTTCGGCCGCCTTCTTCTTCTTCTTATCCTCGATGAGCTCAATATTGGCCTCCGGGATCTCCTTCCCGTACACCTCGAGCAGCCATTCCTTAACATCCTCACTCACATCACCCTGCACGGTAATCTCCTCAGTACCGCCCGCAGACCTAGTCATCGAAGAGCCAGTAGCAAACTTCTTGCCCAGGTCCTTGGCGATCTTCTTATTCTCCAACCCATATATATCCAAGCCCGTGATAACGGTCACATGTTTCCGCTTGTTCCGCTCAACCCGCTTAATCTGTACCTTGGACGCCGCCTTCCGCTCAGCATCGCGCGCCTCAGCCGCAGCAGCCTTGGCCTCCTTCTTCGCCGCATCCTTTGCTGCGCGCTCCCGAGCCGATACCGACAATGTAGCGAGGTTGGAGTTGAGGGCCTCTACATGGCACAAATAGGCCGCAAGTTAGCGACTGATCTAAAAGACCCGGGAGGTGGGCGAAGGGGCAAAAAATAACGAACCCTCAGAATATAACGCCTGGTACATGTCCGGATGGGCTTCCTTCAACCAGTCCTCGCATTTCTTGGCCGTGCCGCCGAATTCACAGTACTAATCGATTTCGAAATTAATGTTAGCTGGCTGCCCCACACGCCCTTTTGGGTGGTATAGATAATATAATGCTGGAACGAGCAGAGGCGGGGGAGGGGAGGGGGGTCTATTCTCGAAAACGAAGATGGAAGCTTGCGTTCGAGTGCATGGGGTGTGTCTATGTATGCGTACCTCCGGAGGCAATGTGCAAACTATCCATAGTAGAAGATTCAGTTAGCTATTACATCTTCTCTTACAATATCACTACCAAAGCGATAGCAGAGACGAAGAAGAGACGACTTACCTCCACAGTAAACAACATGCTTAGCCTGCGATTCAGCAGGAACCGATTGGGCGACTTCGGCCATTGTGATATATCCAGGGATATAAAAATAGACGTATAGAGGTATGAGGGGGAGAGATTCAAGATATTATGGATCGATATATCTGGACACAAAATCTCGTTCGCGCGGTATTAGGTAGGCCCCTCCCGCCGCCGCTGTCGACCGCCCTCTGAATGAGCGCGGGGTCGGGTCTGGATGTACGTATTTCCCGCTGGGTTGCGGTTTGTGTTTTTAAGCTAGGCTGTTTTGGGTAGTTACCTATCTATGTTATCTATCTGTCATGTGATTTATGCTATGTTTATATTGTACGAAGAAGGCTTAGGTTTGGTTTTGTTTGTGTGGGTTATTGAATAGGGTTAAATATGGGAGGATATGATTATTGCTTCTGTTTATTTGAGAGCAGAGTTGCGTTGGGTACATTTTGGTGCCATGGCTACTATACTAATTTGCTGGGCTGGCGGGATCCTGGTATGTTATGCCTTGTAGTGGAAGGTTGAAGCTGGTTATGATGCATTATTCTCTGGCTAGAATCTTCTGTTATTGTCTGATGTGATGTCTGTATGATGTCTGTATGAGGACTGGACTCATTGGAATGCTTTTGGATGGTTCGGTTGGTAAGCTATTCTTAAGATTTTTCAGTTCACGCGCTGTAGCAGAGGGGGGGTACGTGTACGCTGATAACGTGAGTGAGTACCTCTTGGGCTTGCTTATGTTAGGCCAGTCTAGAAGCTGCAGTCAGTTGAACCTGGCATTTTTTGCATGATGTTTTGCCACACGGGTTGAAGTTGTCCATCCCGTCAACTCTATCGTGCACCAACTCGGTATGAATTGGGAACTGACAGTGGCGATCAAGAGCCGTCAAGCAAACATGCCCCCTGTCATGACGCTCGATGTTAACGCCACTGAGTGGCTGCATGCAACCTTTGAGCAGTCGAAAACACGATAGACCTTCGAGAACGACACATTTCAGTCTTCGGGCATGCGGCGTCTAATTCCAATATACTCAAATGTAAGAGGCAAACAATGTGTATTGGGAAAAATAGAAGGCAAAGCAAAGCATTGTTAACGCACACGCATGCAGATAACAAAGCAGGGACTGGATCTGAACATGCTTCATGTCTGGACGACGATTGGTGATCAAAGAGCTCCGTGAGGCCAGACTGGCCAGCATAGCTTATGCATGAGTGACTTGGCATGGCCACATTTCCGTCAATTGTTGGAATGGAAGATTAGAGTGGCTGATTTTGCCGCGTTTCATACTGCGGGCCTGCAGAGGCCAGGTCTCGAAAGGCAGTTCAGTCGAGCAAGTTGTGAGCGAACCGGTAGTGGCGTTTACCATTTTTTCCCGCGTCAAGCATATTGTAATGTGACGAGCGTGTGATTGCAGACGCCACCTCACGTATCATTCCATCATGTCAGCTTAAGATAATGAAGTGAAGGAGAGAGGATCAGAGAAGCAATGTATCCCAAACCGAAACAAAAGGTATGGCGTATTAGTGCCCTGGTGAGAAGCAGTGTCGAAGGCTGACCGGCGTGACAGTCGACATACAGTGCGCCATAGCTATGGTGCTCGTACACCAAGCGAATGCTAGCTGGCACGAAATTTACTTGCCTGATACTAAGACTAACGCTCCGTTGCTCCTCGTTCTAGACCACCGAGATGCCGCAGAGATTTAAATTCTAAACCTAACAGTCGCTAGCGTATTTGGTTATCCAGCAGGATGGCAATCCGCGCGAGCAAAGTCACTTCGTCCGTAGCTAGACGCTGTCTCTCCGACTTAGCGAAGAACTAGTGAGGTTTGCGCAGGGCCAGATAGATCAGACCGTCTGTCAAGTAATGAGCTAACGGGCCCAATCGGTTTGGCACTCTGCCCCTCATATCCTCTTCCAATGAGCAGTTGCGGCCAATCCAGTAGCCTCGGAGCCCAAGAAAGGGCCCGACGGCCATACCAGGGCCATGCGGGTGCACGGGCACCGGCTGCTTTCAAGACACGTCAGTGAAATTGCCTCGTCGCTAATTCCATCAGCGCCTTCACAGAGCAGGTATATCGCTTCGGTTACGCCAGTCTCGCGTCCGAGAAACTCCCGGGGCAGCGCACCCGACGAGCTAAATGCCACGTTGAAATACTTTCTGCTGTAAAGCTGCCAATACGTGTGAGAACATATATAATTATAATTATAATATAATTAATATTAAAATAAGAGAAAGCGAAAGCATACGGGAAGCAGACCTGGGGGGATAGGAGATCGCTGGGTTTCGCCTATGTATGGGACCCCGCGTTTGAAAGCGGGCTAGAATGATCGACGGCGGCCTGGCTTGAACGTATCTTTCCGGTTGGTGTTGGATAGTCGGGGTTGTCCGTGGCTCCTCCTGTGAGTATTGGCCTAAATATAGCTGTTCTGATAGGCCCTGATAGGACCCTGATAGGCGATTCAATCCCTCCAGTTCGGTTCCCTGGGTCCAAGCCAATCTCAATCATCTAGATTAGGCCTGTCAGCTCTTTAGGTTCTCAAGCGACGTAAGTGTTGATAAGGGGAAGATGGAACACAGAGGTCCATGATGATAGGACAAGGATGTCTAGCCAATCGTAACGGACGTAGATGATGGCATGCGGACAACGAGGGACGGTCTATGCAGTAGTACCTAGGGGGTCCAACATGTCCCATATGCAAGCGTGGCTGATTGTTGCTTGATCGCTGAGTACCGCATGCGGCGGTTGACCAAAGAGAAACGTCAAAATACCCCTCGTGGGAAGGTCCTTGCGCTCACGACGTACGTACCACGATCTGCTATCCTAGCCATCAGTTGTCTGACATGCATCGAGCCGCCTTACGGGTTTCTTTGGACGCCAATCTTAATTACAAGATTGTTTCACCCCCACTTGATTTTGAGATATGAGGGGCTGTTCGCTTGCACGTTCGACCACGCCACAGGGGAGATGCGCAGATAGGAACGGACATGGCTGGGACGCTAGTCAGAAGGAGGCTGCGGACGAGTGTCTGGAAACAAGACGGTAGCTAGTCTTGTAGATATTCCTAGTGCACATTTGAGTGTCCGGAAACGGGCACTAAGAGCGGATCAACGGACCCAAGTGGACGTTGTCCTGACTCCTGAGAAGATTGGCGCGACAAAGGAAGTATTTTGGCCATCTAATTAGTTAGTTAGCTCTGGCATTTTGTCAGTCAGCATTTCAGCGACATTTAGATCTGAAGCTTCTCGTGGCTTTGATAAGAAAGCCAATTGAAAGGGAAACAAGCATGACATCATGATTCACTAGGCTTAGAAAACTTCCTATTCCTTCCAAAATCTTATCGAGGATGGCAAGACGAAAGACATAGATTGCCCAAGACAAAACCCGTATAATAGCAATAACTAGCTCCGGTGAGCGTTTATGCCAGACGCTCGGATCCACGTGCTCCGCCGCAGACAGGAGAGACCTGCGTGCTTAGCGTTTTGTCCAGCCCTCACTCTGACTAGCAGCCTAGCTATCTACCTAGTTTAGTCTAGTCAAGTCTGTGTCCTACTATGCTTCGAGAGCAAACATACATATGACAGAGGAGTGACCTAACGGATTTGGCTTAACGTGTCAAGGTGGTTAGCAAGAGCATCCATCCACTTTGTCCTCTAGAGATATAGTGGCACTGATCGGACAGTGGTAGTACAGGGCACTAACTTGAAACTGGAAACTGAACCATAATTTAGAGAACAAACATTGCTGTCAGCGTGGTAGGTGCGCAATGCTCGTTCAAAGCGTATGCAAAGCAACCGCACCAAAACATCCGTGCATCCCGTTAAGACAATGGAAGAAGGTAGTAATCGGCAAGATGACACGACTATCCGGAAGCTTCCAGCATCCCGTGTTATCCCGAGACTACTACGTACTTGTGGGCTGGGAACTTGGGACATGTTACCTCCCGGAGGGCAGCCACAGGGCACTCCTCAATGTGCAGACTAAAGCAGTACACATTTGTATAATTGTAATCAGTGAAGAGGAGACACAGCTAAAGGCTGGCTTCTAATGTGAAGATTATGATTAGTAGATAAACAGTAGATACAGTTCTGGGTGGATCGGTCATTCATCGGGAGAGGAGAAGGGGAAATGGATCTTCTCCTGTTTTGCGGGTGCCCCGGAATGAACGAAGCAACGATCGCGCATTGGCTTGCCGAGGATCTGGGATCTGGACTTCAACAGACCGTGCGGAGGTTTCCCCAGAAATCCAAACAGGCAGGAGGAGTGACCGACAAACTCTCGGGTTCTTTGTTCTGCTTCTCCTTATCAATATCACATCATTCTCTCCCAAGGGATACTGCGGGAATGAAAAGCCGGTGGGTCTGATACTGGACGCATCGGGAATGGGGGTCGCTAAGGGAGGAAACAAACTGATCCCTGACTACTCTGCTCCGTGTTTCTGGCCTGGGAATGAGATTATGATGATGTTCACGCTAGCTGCCATGCCCCCGTCTAGTCTAGTTTAGTGACTGGGTAAGGCCATTGATCTGTCATCCCGGGGAGGTAGCAGTTAGTAAGTAATTTATCGCACGTCCCTCCCGCACAGCTCCAAACCGGATGTTAGGAAGAGACCTCACTACAGTGCATAATTAGCGCGTCTTGGGGGGTTTCGGAGTCCTTCTAGACTCCGGTCGCAGTACGTAAAGTCCGTCGATGATTGGTATGCGGCTAAGGTATAGATCGGAGGTTTTGTCTAGGATACATAGCTCGGTTCCTGATAGCAAGGTAGTAATTTAGCTAGCTAGGCAGCTCAGTATGGATATATAGTAGTAAATACGAGGGAGAGTGTACTATGGACGACAGGTAAAACCTTCAGTAAGTCCGAAAGAACATTGCTTCATGAGGCTGGCTCTGGATCGTCGATGTTCGGGTGTCAAGACTGGTCTAACCCCACCTCAATGAGAGCCAATGGCGGGCTGCGAAATGCCTAATGTGACCCACACTCATGCACCACGAGAGTTACACCATTCCAGTGCCAACCAATCAGCAATGAGCCAGAATACATGCACTAGACGGGAAAGAGTGAAAGTTGCTGGAGACTAGAACTGCTTCGTCCCCACCCGGCCGGTTTTCCATTCGAGGTACTGTCGTCATGATTCACTTTGCGAGCATTTGGTTCTTTGGTGGCAAACAAGATCGAGAAAAGCACCGAACAGATTCTTCTGTGTGCTGGTTCAACCTTGTTTGATGCCCTCCTTGGGAGGTACCCGTTCCTAGGTACTGTGCACTGCTTGATACGAAGGAGAGGGGGAAGGGGGGTGGGAATATCCTCGTACTTCTTTCTTAACCCACGCGTACGTCAATCGTAATCAATTCTCCAACAAATCCTCCTTCCGCCAAGCCATCGACGCGGTACCCTGCGTCTCTGATCCTTCTCGTTGGTTTATCTACCAAACCTCACTTGATCCGCGCGACATCAACGCTTCCTCCCCCCTTCGCCCCCCTACCATCGGGTATCTAGACTCTTTAGATCCTGGTCTAGTACCTGGGAAGAATTAAGAGATTTTCTTTTTATCAAAACGAAAATGAAAAGATAAAACATAATAATACCAAAAAAAAAGAAGAATCAACGGTCGAACCCCCCCGTGCATTATCGCATCTCCACTCGCCACTATCACTAAACTCGCACTCGCAAAAGAAGAGAGAGAGAGAGAGAGAGAGACAGGTATTTCCGGTTTCCCGCCGCTTCCCGTCAACGCTACTTTACGACTCTTGCCTTTCACCCTGCGACTCCCATACACACGCTGGTTTATTCCCGACCTTTCATCTTAATCTAGCTTCGACCCCATCCAAGTTTCCGATCCTTTCGTGCGACCGAGCAAAAGGCCTTCTCCACCCCCCTCCGAGGGGTTTGTTTGGAGCCGTTAATAACTCTCGCATATCACACACTCCCTGACACCTTGATGGCTCCTCAAGATACATCTTACTAGCTCTCTCGCCCTATAACATCTCCGAGGCGCCTTAGCTGCCCCTTCATATATGCTACCAATCAAGATCAAATCCTACTCTGGCCTACCCCATACTGTACCATGATCTCAGCACTTTGTCGCCATTCCTAGATAGCGGGCCTTTCCTCGACGCCTCTCGCGCCTTTCCATTGGAGACGAAACATCCTATCTCAATCAATTGCTTCACCTTTTCTGCTTCAACTCCAGCCCTTGCAACGGCCATCCCATTCGCAGTCTGCCCTTATGTACCTGTTTGAGCTGTTAGGATGACGGCCATACTTCCCGCCTCGAACGAGGGGCGATCACGCTTTTCTTCGGACCCTTTGCGAAGTCCAATCACCCAAACCTACTTCCTCGAAGAGCCCAATGTTGCCACAGCCAAATTTAATCTGCCCGCATATCATCGCAAGGATCGTTCTGATGCTGTGGTGTCCTCCCCGTCGCGGTCAGCGTCTCCATCCCCGGATTTCACTATTACGGCTGTGGGGAATCTCCCTCCCACGCCTGCGACTCTGAGCAGTCTATCTCTTATGAGTGAGGGCCATGATGATGACGAGTTGGTCCTGCCGTCGTACGATTCCAGCCAATTCGCACAGAAGGAGCCTGAAGCCCTCAGTGATGTGTCTGTGGACTCCTCGGCGGACTTCCCACGCCTGACACAGGCACCGGCTGCTGATGATAGTACAATCGAGGATGAGCCATCGAGGCACGTGGATTATCTATCTCATGAATGGAGACAGGAGGATATTTGGGCATCGTGGCGTTACGTCGTCGCCCGGAGGAACATATATGAAAATGGGACAAGGCTAGAGAATGCCTCGTGGAGGACGTGGGCCAAGCTGAAACTCAATTTGGGTACGGTATCGCCAGAAGCCCTCAACTGGTCAGTTCTTGGACAGAGTCCCTTAGGCTTGGGCTTGATGCTAACACTCCCAATAGGCTGAAGGACTGCGATGTGACGTGGTTGTACGGACCCTTAAAGACGTGCAATAAGCGGGAGAAAGCATTCAATGGCTCTCCTCCTCCCAGCCGCTTGGAGACACCGACCTTGTACCCGGATAGGAAACCGATATTGAAGAAGAGAACGGCTTCCGAGACTATCTTACAGCGTTCTCTGTCCCAGCATACGCTCTTGCAACATGCGGGAGCCATTTTAAAAGCACAGGAGGCCGAGATCAACCGTAACCGTCCCCCATTACAGAGGGCCTCCTCGGAGTTTGGACATATGCTTAGCAAGTCGTCCACCACTCCCGTGGGGGGTACTGCTAAGGGTACCGCCACCAATACATCAACGTCGGCCACCCCTAGCGAACGACGGCATATTCACTTCAACAACGAGGTGGTGCAATGTATTGCTGTCGAAGCGAAAGAGGAAGACGATGGATGGCCTGCTCATTTCGGGAATGAGTCATCAGAGGATGGTATCGTCATGATGAAACACATTCATTCTGGCTCGTCGCTCAGCGACAAAGGTACGCCTCGTGGTAGCGTTACTGGTGAAAACAAAACCATTGCCCCGCTTCCTTCTACCACACTCAAGTACCGATGGGATGTGTCGGACCATCCGGATGATCTGCCAGATGGCCGAGGGGATGCCCGTGGGAACGGACAAACCACATCGGAATCATCAGCATCCTCAATAATGGGTCGGTGGTCAAGCTACTTCCTGAACTCCACGTCGCCTACTTCGTCCGGAGCCGAGAAGTCGACGCGGAAAAGTGCACGATCTGGCAGGAACATCACGCCATCTGCTAATTTCCTTCTTGACGAAGAAGATAATGACGTGGAATTCGACTGGGAACCAAGCCGCAACTCATATGGCATAGGAAGCCTAAGCCGTCCCTGGTTTGTGAATCCAGAAGATGACGAGGAGCTCGATTACTACTTCCATTCGATGTCTCCGGGAGGAATAACACCCAACGAAGAAGACGAACCATTGAGTGCAAGCATTTTTGACCGTGTGGCAGACACCGTAAACACAGCCAAGGACATTGCACATGTGATATGGAACGTCGGCTGGAGGCGGTGATTCCCTCTCCGTGGAGCATCCACAAGGTCGCAGAGCGGGCTTTACGACTTAATGCACTTGATTTCCTAGCCATCAATCTCTCTTGCATCTTTCTCATACAATAAACGACCAGGAAGACGGGTTGCGGCGTTCTGAGCTTTCACCAATTAATGTTGCTGGCTGCTGGTCGACGATAAAAGGGGTTAAAGGAGGGTTTTTTCTATTTTCTTTTCCCATCTTCCGTGGGGCTGTATGTGCCAGGAGGAAGCCGGAATTTCTGGATCATGTTTTGGCGTAGTTCATGTTTGGTTTTGGGTTCTGCCTGGGGGCGTTTCTCGATGGGCTGGCTGTCATGACGGCTTTAATTTCCTGCATCTTATTTTTCTTTTACCCCCAGATATCACCACGCGAGGTAGCATTGACTTCTTATGACCCAATGAGACATATGATGATCCAACATACAGCAGATGAAATTCCATTATAGTAGTGTACAACATGTTACACCCCAGAATATCCTTATATACATATTGGACTATCACATTTCTCACTCAACTCCATTTAGTAGTTCCGTCAACAAACACCAAGTATGCTACCACAACCTTAAAGACCATAGCTACCTACCAGCTCATGCTCACGCCGCACACAGGTACCAGTTTCACTACCTTTGCTACCAAACCAAGACTGGTGCCTACTTACCAACCTGCACCCCATCGAAGACACCAACCATAGACAGAACTCTCAGACTACCACATTCGAGCAATAAAGGTATAAAATATGCACATGAACATAGAAAAGTAGCGATCACACCTGTTGAACTAATTTACTACAAGTAGTTCGTCTTTATGAAAATTAGTTAGGTGCCTCTTTTCCGTCTCTAGGAAAAACCCTGAAGCCTGAATCTATTGAAAGCAAGGTACTTTTGCAAGCTATCTCATTTGGAAATGAACAACACCAATTCCCAAGTACCAATCGGAAGAGAGGTGAAGAAAGGCAGACAGGTTTACTGTGTAATTTGCTTGGAAGGTGGGGGGCCGGTAAGATAGGAGAGAAATGCGGCATAAACCTGCGAATTTGGACTAGAAGATGGAATGAGAGTAGGGATTAAATCATGGAAAGAGGTAATTAGTCAACTACTAATGTATGTACTTTGTAAAATGGTACAAGTGTTTGGTTAGCTCGCGGTGGATTGATTAATAGCAGGAGGTGCTATAAGGGAATAAGCATCGGTGCCTAATCGTTGGTGGGGATTAGTGCATACTACCAAGCTACTTTGCTACTTTTCTACTACGGAGTAGCTACTAGATATCTACTAGGCACGGATGCAAGGAAGACCGTGCTTTTTAGTTTAGACAAAGCGGGTCTGAAACCGGATCACGTCGTGCTCAATGTTACGTCAGGACGGTTAGAAGTGGGCTGGCTGGCTGGCTCAACTCGGAGGTCGAGCGTATTCAGGGGTGGTGGAGAATGTTGAACGATGGTTGAATGAGACCATTTTATTGTAAACGTGGGCTCACGAGCCACAGACCCTCAATATCAGGGTTTGCGACGATGTATATGCATGCACCAATAGCAATAACCAACTCCTAGATACCTAAAATCCTAACTCCCTGTTGCATTCGAGGTTTTCTGGACTGTAACGAGGACTATCAGCATCATGATTGAAATCCGCTAGTCAACTTCGGTCTTCTTTGTAATGTGTTACTTACATTGGGTATCATCAACAAGGAACAAGAGAGATGGCAAAAAAAGGGTGATGCGTGCGTTGATAGCACCACCATCATACATAGCGGAAAACAGAGATTCGTGAAAGTTTCCCATATATATCAGTAAATGGGAATAAGTCCCTATGAAGGTCCCTTCGACCTCTGCTTGGTCAAAAGCAAGACGTAAAGAAATGAAAAAACGGCCACTCAACCCTCCATAACATCTTCCGTAGTGTCACGAAACGTCTCCGGGAAAAAGCCCGGTGGCGGCCAAATGTCGGCAATCGACGGGGGATGTACCAACGGCTGAGTCCCAGCGAGTCGGTCTGGGTCATGGCAGAAAGCCTGGAATGTACTCTCGTCAATAAATCCGAAATCCTTCAGCGCGGCCTCGCGATTGTTAGCCCACTCTGTGGTGTCGAGATATGCAAGATCCTTGAAGATGGCGTCAATGTCGCCGGTTGAGCCGATACGCTCTGTCGTATCCGAGCTCCTATCTCCCGAAGGTACAGAACGTTCGTGTATAACGCCCGGACCGGTGACCGACATCATCGAACTTGACACCCCAGAGTCGGGTGTAGACGGATGGGGGCGCGGGCCCCGCGGTAATGCTGCATTCAGAGCAGCAGCAGGCTCGGACTTGTCCATGTGTGCCGTTCGCCCGTCCAAGGTTTGTTGGAAGGACACGTCCATCATGGATAAATCAGGATTTTCCACCGTGGGATCTTTTGGCGTCATGTACTGTCCGTCCACAGGGATAGTGATGCCCATAATGGCAGATGTATAATCGGAATCCCCCATTCCAGGTGCAGTCCTTCTCATGTGAGGGTTCATCGTAGGCTCGCCCATTATGTTCGGATACCCTGCCGCCGATGTTGCCATAGACCCAGGGGGTAGTGCAGTACTGGTCATACTGCTAGCCATTCCGGGTGCTGATCCTGCCTCTGGTGGTTGATAGGATAGAGCAGGGTTTCCGGGGAGATCTTTAGAACGGTACCAGTGATCGATGGAAGCAGACAATGAGCGATACACTGGCCAAGTTGAACTAAGCTCCGTGGTTCGCTGAAGGAGCGCTTCAGTCCACCGTCCGAAAGGGAACATGTCGGATTCGATTTTATTGCGCAGAGTGAACGCTTGTTCGGCGATAGTGCGCAAAGAAAGCTCGAATATCGGCGGCAAACCGCAAATCTGAAAGTTATCAAGGTGCTGGGACACCATTGGAAGAGCTCTATAAAGGAGTTTCTTGGCTCCTTCGATAGCCGGCCGTTGAGAGCGATGCAGCCCAAGCTCCTGAGGCGCAATGCGCAGATAAAGCCACAGAAGCGTAGCCACATATGTCAGGCCAAGGTAGCTCTGGTGCGGGAGCAAGGCCGAGTGTCGTTCCGGATAGATACTTTCTGGGCCAATCAAGCGACATCCAAGAGGAAGACGATCATCCCATTGCTTAAGCTCCATGACTAGTTGTTGTGCAAATAAGGGTGCGTTTGGTCCGGCCGTGGAGTCGCGAGCAATCTTATTCAGTACACCGGCTAACTCGACTAGTCGATTGAAGCAGCTTAGAGCGAGCAGCGGACCCCGTCGAGGAGGGCTCTTCCCTTGTCCAGCCCCCGTAGGTGGCAAGACATCCGACCATGAGTTCCACTCTTCCAAGCCATCTTCTTCCAACAGCCCGACCATGGTGAGATCACGAGGATGCATGCACGGTCTCCTCGACAAACGGAACGAAAGCAACGAGTCAATCACAAAACACCCAAGGAAAACCGCCTTTCCTTGCCTCAACTCGTCCGATCGTCGAACGTCCATGAAGGCTCCAAGGTCCATCGAAATGGCCATGCGAACAGCCTGGCCACTCAACAGCCAGGCAGCAGTCCAGTCCTCCAGGCCGATGTTAACCAACGTCAGCAGCAACAGTGCCTGCACATGTCCAAGCTCGAACCGCTCCGTTTCAGAAGGAATCAAGCTTCGAGCTACCGAGTAATACTCCTTGGTTTTCGAAAGCGCTTCCAACGCCCCGTCCTGCGGGTTAACCCGAGATTGCGAAATGGTGTAACTGAGCAAGGCCCACAATGCGGCGTGGTCGCCCGAACCTGGGGCCATTTTTGCGACAGATAGCGGCGCGCTTGCATACAGGTACGATGCTCGTAAGATGTTGTGTTTTGCGACGATAGGGAACCATGAGTGAGTGACTGCGAAATAGACGTCTAACAACTGCGAGGTCTGCGGGGGTAATTGTAGGGCATTCGTAGCGCTGGCGGTATACGTGGTGATTCTGCTGTCTGTGGGAGCGGCCAGCCGGGGCCTTTTAGCATGGGGAGAGGTGGAAGGCTCAACAACACGCGGAGCATCATGAGCGAGAGGAGTCGAACTACGGTCGATGCGGAATCCCCATTCACTTCCGGTGCCGTCATCATGGTCTTCCCGAGAGCGCTTTCCTGAGCTCTCCGTGACTGGCTCAGAGTTAGACAGCATCTTCTCGAGTGCCCCATATAGGCGACTGGTTTTCCAAGATTCATGCAGTGTCTCTGACGCGCCATCATCCGTCCATAAGGACATGAGCTTCTGTCTCCGACCAGCTGATTCGGCGGTGGTCCCCAGTAGAGTTAGCATTGTGTCTTCGAAGCCATCGATATTGCAGATGGACAAGGCCCAGAGCTTCTCCAGGCCACGAACATAGCCCTCTGGTAACCCGCGCTTCTTTGCATGGGGATCATATGAACAGGTCTGGCCTGAAGCCTGGCAGGCCGAACAAGCGGGACGTAGTCCATCGCACTTGTCCTAAAAGTTGGAGGTCATTGTCAGCATGGAGGGTGGGAATTAAAGACATGGTGGAGAAGTGGATAGAAACTGAAGGGGCAAGCAGATCCAGGATGTTGAGTTGAGGAAGTAGGAAAGAAGGAGAGTAGATGGCCAATTGAAACGGCAGTGGGCAGCTGAGCTGCAGCTCCGAGGCGATAACAAGCACCGAAAACGGGCAAGTACGTGACGTGACGCAAGAACGCCGCCCCGAACATTACCGAGTACAGAATGAAAAACCACCTGCAGTTCGGGGTTGAATTGCACCGATCGGGCTAAAAGCAAGAGAAAGATGGAGATGGAGAATAGGAAGGGGAAAATCTATAAAAGAGTGGGGAGAGGGAAGAGGCAGAGAAGCCAAAAGAAAAGGTATTAATTAATTGATTGATTGATTGATTGATTCTAACTGACCTTTTTACTTCGACAGCGATCACAGGCTCTCGACACCCTCTTCCGTCGAGGGGCTTTAGAATCGGAACCCTCGTCCATGGGAGAGGGTTAATTAAAAAAGATATGGCATGTCATGAAAGCAGGAAAAAGAGAGGAAAGAAGAGAAGAAGGTAGCGAGCGAAAGGTGGTCGGGCCTCCCAGAAATGACACCGACCAGAAGGGGGAAGGTAAAAAAAGGCGTGACGGAAAAGGCAGTTTTCAGTTCAGTCCAGTCCAGTAAGGGAATAATAGGAATAGGAAGTGTAAAGTTCAAGTAACCTGGGAAGGTTAAGGTAATAGTCGTAGGTAAGTAAGTAAGTAGTAGTAGTAGTAGTAGTAGTAGTAGTAGTAGTAGTAGTCGCCAGGCAAGCCGAGAAAGGGACCGCGGCGGAGGGATTGGAGCAAGCCGAAAAGGTTATCCCGCAGTGCATGCCCGTCTGTTATAACACAAGACCCTCGGGTCCCCCAGACGCAATCGGAAAAGAACTTGTCAAGAAAAGCGATGGCAAGTAGTATTACGCAAGAATCCAATGAGTCTAAAGATGGATGATAGCTACCACAGCCACCTCAGGGTCTCGCTGTTGAATCTCCTTGGTCCATCCAATCCAATATGGAGTTGTGCATCGGCCCAGACCCATCCTGAGGCAACCAAGTTTAGAAAGGGATCCGGGAAAGTGTAAAAGAAGAAGAAAAAAATACACTACGAGCTGCAAGTTGAAGGGACCGCAACGGGGGAAAGTACAAGGGACGGGAGAAGGAGGGGGGAAGGGAAAGATCGGGGCAAAAACTTCGGGATGAGCAAAAAATTGGAAAAATAAAATAGAATAATAAATAAAATAAAACAATTCAAAAAAGTTGACTACTAGTTTACTTTGTCTTTAGTGAGTTACTTAGTGGATGATGGTTGGGTTTAGTCGCCTTTTTCCGGGTGAGTTTTGGATTCCGTCGGGACTGAGATTGGCAGCTGCAACGATTTTCCAGAATTCAATGCTAAGGAAAAAAAGTAATAATAATAAATGATATTAAATCACATAAGAAGAAAATAAAAATTCTTTTTCTATTCTTAAAACAGTAAGAGAATCGAGATAACCTAGATGATAGTGCCAAAAAAAGGTTTTTATTACCCAAAAATTCCCACTTTTCGTGTGGTGAGATTCTCCTCAAAACGGAGGGCCATGTTGTGCCTGAGGCTAGCACCCCACACCGGATCCCCACGGCTTCTCCACGACGCGGTGTGGGAGACTTTCCTCCCAACTGCTTCCCCCTACACAGTCCCTGCACCTTTTGGCTGCAGGAGAAACCGAGACTTCCGCCGTCCTTCGCCGTCTTGGCTCGGTGGGATTCGTGCTCGCTCCCTCTCTCCATAATCCATACTCCATCACACCCCCCAATATTTAGTGTTTGTCTGATTATAATAACTTCCTCAGGCTCAGCCTCCTCTGTTCCTAGCGACTCACAAAAATAGCATTCTCTTGAACCGTGTCAATCAGCCAAGAATTCTTCGCATCAATAATCCGCGTAACCAACCACCTACCAGTTCCTATTATTATCCTTCGCGTCCGAGGGAACTAATCACAATAAGTCTAGAGGACAAGGATAGCGTACATCTAAGCTTTCGAACCGATAATGTTCCTGCTTTCTTAGTTCCCCCATCTGTGGCCATCATTATGTCCTGACTAGTTACGAATCATGGGTCCTCAATGCTGACTTCAAACCTCCATTGTCTGTGGCTATCTACTATCACCTAATGGATAGACGAAAAGGGCGCCCAACCGTCTTCCTAATTATCAAACTCGAAACCCACTAGCCCAATCACTGAGCAGATAGAACCGCCGAAAACCGGCCGTTCCGCTGTCGGCGGACCAACCGTAAAGTCCACCCCACAAAGGCGTCGAGCCCAAGAAGAATCCAAACCACGACTAGTTTACTGTCTATTGTGGCACTCCGAACTAACCGACCCATTTTGGCTTCTGATTCGCCGGTTCCAGGGGTCCGACACCCTTCCTGGTACGTCCTTCTCTTCAGCATGCTCACTGTCCGTGTCAAGCTCTTGACTCGGCTACTGAATAATGACCTTCAGATCATTCGCGGATCCGGCAAAAGATCCGGCATCCCGACTCGGTAGTCATGCAGATGGAGGAGATATACATCTTCAAGGGTTCATCAGTCCCAGGCCTCCGGGCGTCGGTATACCCATCGGGTCCGAATATTCGTGCAGGGTCCTTACCCCGGTGACGCGAAGTGATACAGTAGTACCACTCACTATACTCCATTCAAGTTTAAGCATATACATTCGATTCAATGCTACTGGGCTAATGGGCCGACGTGCTAGAGTCTAGAGTGATGTAGGCACAGATTGACCCGGATTTGACAGAACCATTTTTTCTATTGATTGGATTACCATCGTTTTCGCAGCTGCTGGCTACCCACCTATTAGCCCATCACACGCCCGCTAAACAGGCGTTTTGTTTCTGCCTGGAGAATGGGGTCGGTTTACTTATCAGGGATGCATGCTTATTGATTAATGATAAATACTAGCATGCGGTTGAAGAGACTAATTGATCAGGTGGCTACCGATGGATCGGGGATGACACTCAGGCCAATCTATGTCGTATACGGATTACGGAGAGTCCCGCGGATGGAGATCGTCCATCCGGGTATTGACTTATCCGCAACCAGCCTGGAGGGCAGGCGGTCACTCGTGGCAGATGCAATGGTCCGGCAATGCGGCTGGAGATGCTGAACCCGCGAACCCTTTGGGACTCCGGTGGCTGATGGCCGCAACCGAGCATTCTTGCCATGGTCCCCCGACTGTCATCCTTTGGTTCTGTTATAATCACACTTTCTCCAGCGCCCCCCGGTTGCCTTTGCCCCAGCAAACCAATCACGCCTGCTTGCCCAGCCTGCTTCAACACGTTTCCGTCCCATTGCTGCCCTCGCAGGCATGCCAGGTGCTGCGCCAATTGACCGCCTTTGTCCCTGCCGCACTTACTGCACTCCGCCTCCGCCCGATAGCTAGCAAAAGCTAGTCACCATTTCCTCACCCCCGCCATCTTCCCCGGTATACTAGCTTCTCCGCTTCAGTCACAGGGAAAAAAAAAATAAAAAGCGGCCCTCGACAACGCTATCCTCCCTCAATTGAAGCATGGCCACTTCGAATATGACGGAGTGCAGATGATTGGTCCTCATTGGGTTGCTTCGGATACACTGCTGATATCACCTTGATTAATCGTTACTCTTAGCAACTTAGACTTTCTGCAGCGGACGGTCTTGCTTCCCGCGCACCGACCACACAAGACCTCCGTCCCATTGATCCACGTAAACGTCCACAATGCACAAGATATCCCCGGTAGATAAGCGCCGGAGATTCGATCCTGATGCCTCTCTGGTGCTTGTGGGCATCCGGGGATGCGGAAAGCGGTCTCTGGGATTTGTTGCTGCCACTGCGTTGAAACGGCGGTTCATCACGGAAGACCACTATTTCAAAGAGGTGACCGGACATACCAGGCATGAGTATCTCAAGCGCTATGGGAGTCAGGAATTCCAGCAACGCGATGTCGAAGTCCTCAAGTCAATGCTTGACAACCACCGCTCCCGTTGTGTGATTGAATGCGGTCTCGGCAGTCTTACCCGTCCGGTTCAGGAGCACCTTCGTCACTATTCTGCTACCAATCCCATTGTATACATAGTTCGCGACATGGATCGCATTCAAAGCCTATTAGGTCTGGAGGAGCAATCAGTCAAGCTCCTTGCCGAGGGCGATCCTCTACACAGAACATGCTCGAATTTCGAGTTCTACAATGTTGAAGATCATTCCAGTATCGCTTCCCAGACGGATGAGGGATCGCCGGACCGACGATGCGTTGATTATTCCTTCAAGTTGAAAGAAGCGAAAGAGGACTTCACGCGCTTCGTGCGTTTCGTGACTGGCACCGATGTAGGACACACCAGTTATGACTCGCCTTTTGTCCTGCTTGAGACCCCCCCAGAACTCCGGTCCTTCACCCATGCCATTTTTGTACGATCTTCCGACCTGGCAGAAGGCAATGTCAAACTGCAGGAGCTTGAGTCAGGAGGTGATGCCATTGAGCTGTGTGTTGACCGCTGGAGCACGGGATTGACAGCAACTCTCAGCAAGCAGGTCGCTCTACTCCGGAGAAATGCTCGTACGCCCATCATAATCTCAATAGATAAATCCTCCACCGGAATTGCTAGAGGTGATTTGTCTGCTACAAAGGTGAACACTTTATACTTCACTATTGTGGAACATGCTCTACGGCTGGCGGTTGAATATCTGGCCGTGGACTTGAGCCAGGAACGGTCCCGAGTGGAGGAAGCAATCCGTACCAGAGGCAACACAAAGATTATTGGTCAACGCATATTCGAACCTTCTGCGCCAGAGACATGGGAGAGCGAAGAATGCCTTTCCCTCTATTCTGAAGCCGAGAAGCTGGGGTGTCAGCTCGTTCGCTTTCTTCGAGTGGCTACGTCGCGTGAGGATAACGCAGCGGTTGCTAAATTTACAAACAAGGTTCATGCCTTGCCCGGCGAACATCCACCGGTTATCGCATACAACATTGGCCGTCTTGGCCGCACCTCGCAAGTGTTCAATTCTATCCTCACATCTGTAACTCACCCAGCAATCGAAAGGTCTTCCGACAACGAGCGAGACCCGCAGATCACTTCTCGTGACGCAGTTCAGGCCTTGTTCCAAAGTTACGTCCTGGACCCGCTCCAGTTCTTCATCCTCGGAGGTAATGTCGCATACAGTCTGTCCCCTGCAATGCACAATGCTGCTTTCCGCCACTGTGGCATGAGCCATACTTATACCATACCGGACTCGCCCTCGCTTGCAATCATGGATCGGTTGGGCAGGGATTCGCATTTTGGAGGGTCAAGTGTGGTTCAGCCTTGGAGAGTACAACTATCACATAAGCTCGCGGCGAAAAGCCGCCATGTGGAGGCAATTGGTGCGATCAACACGATCGTACCCCTGCGCGCCGGCCCTGATGGATCCATGTATCCTCTACAAGAGCAGGCGAGTCGGCGTAACCAGGCTGGACCTGTGCTAGGGTGGTACGGTGAGAATACGGACTGGGTTGGCATTATGAACTGCATCAACCGCAACCTCTCTCCACGCAATGCCATCAGCCCATCGAAGACTACTGGGCTGGTGATAGGAGCGGGCGGTATGGCCCGCGCCGCTGTCTATGCTATGCTGCGGCTCGGATGCCGTAAGATCTTCATCTACAACAGAACTTTGTCACGAGCGGAAAGTGTCGCTCGCCATTTCAACTCATGGGCAGCCTCACAAGTGGACTCGGCGGAAGTTGTGTATGTGCTCAAGTCATTGAAGGATGAATGGCCTGAGGATGCCTGTCCGCCTTGCATGATCGCATCTTGTGTGCCTGCGGACCGCGACCGCGATGAACCGCCAGCCAACTTTGAAATGCCTATGCAATGGCTGGGAAGCCCCACTGGCGGCGTAGTCCTTGAGGTAAGTTCTTTAATGATGTGCACAGGTGGGCCTGACTAACGTTTTCATGCTAGTTCGCTTACAAGCCACTGGACACTCCATTGCTGCGCCAGATGCGTCGTATTCGGACTGAAACCGGGCGCCCTTGGGTATTAGTTGATGGACTTGACAATGTGGTCGAGCAAGCGATACCGCAGTTTGAGCTCATGACGGGACGAAAGGCACCCCGTCGCTTGATGTTTTCAGAAGCCCTTCACAACTACGTTGGCGAAGAAGGTCACTTCGATGACAAGACGATCCAAGCCAGGCTTGATCATGTTCGGTAACAGATTCGTGTGTTAGAGAGCATAGCTGCATTACATCGCATACAGAGGTATTGGTGCTCCATTTTGTGGCTGCGTGCAATCATGACCCTGAGCCGGTTCAGGGCCTTTTTTAGGGTGTCCTCGACGCAGCAGCAGCTGGGTCTGAAGGAATCCAAACCAGGGATATGTCTGGGGTATTCTACGTTGTAGAGAAACTGAGATGGGCACCATTATGCGAGGCAAGAGGTGGGTTCTGCAATGCGAGGCTACGACTAAGCCAAGATATAAGAGCCCGCTCATCCAGCGCATTACTGGAGTCCAATGGGCTGATATTACTGCATCTGGATGTGGGATCTCACTGGTCACTGGGATAGCCCCTGGTCGCCAATGATCCACTTCTGTGCCCGGTCCGACGGATGCTAATGGCGTGACATCAGGTCTGATCCTAGCTGCTTATGCAAATGTTACTTCGGTAGTATATGCATGCATGGCCAGGCCGCCATAAACCACGGCCCAGAACTGAACGGTCAAATGGGGAGATTGATGTTGTCAGCGGCGCTTAAGGCCGGGTGTCTGGTGTTTGGCAAGCGAGATTACGTCTGTATTTGCATTAAGCGATCAGAATTCAGCAGAAGGGAGTTTCATATGCAAGAGCACGTTTTAATTAAGAGATAGCGTTGCGCTTGAATAATATAATCTAAGCGGGCTTCCAAGTAAATTGCACAAAAGCATGCAGTCATGGTAGAGAATTTCTAGATAATAAGGTACTCTAAGTGGCTCCTCTCGGTTGGCTCTGCGCAACGACGTCTTTTCATTCAAAAAGTACTTTTCTTTGCAGTTCGTTATAGTAGTGGCTTTCCTTTGATACAAATATAAGGATGCAGTCAAATGGTATCAAAATAATGATGTACATGTAACACTAGTGCTCGATAGAACTGCAAAATATATGTATAGATATAAATAATACCACGACTACTACAACTCCCCTTCATCCAGAATTGATCCCCAGTAGCAGAACAACCGAGTCCTACATATTTCACGTCAATGCCTCGGTCACATTACCCACCAAGCCCACGCAACCTGTGAACTACCGACTTGAATTGTATCATAAACAATTATCTACAGCGTCTATGGATAGTAATTGAACACATCACCGACCCTCCACCAAACCGGTCAATCCATCACCCATCCTACTAGCAACCCCTTCCTGAGAACAAGAAAAAAAAACCGAATAAACGCAGCCCCTGCAGAGCATCTACACCATCACTGCTCCTACACGGTACATACAATACACAGGGGACACGTGTCCTACATGCATCAACAACATAACATAGCATTCCTCGGAGATATTCTCAGAGGCTGAAATATTTGCGATGGCGCTTGGAATGTGTAATCTACAGAGTACAGATGCCCGGGGCGGAAAACAAGCACCCAGGAGGCGCTGAAGGTGGAGGTTAAATGGACGTGAGGAATGATGGACGGAATATATTGAGTTTGGCTAGGTTTTGTTTTTATCTTTGTATGAAATTTTTTTTGTCCTGCTTCTTCATTTGCTTTTACTCTTGTGTCCTGAGATACTGGTTTCGCGAATTGCAAGTGCAATTCCTACGCTGCTTTGCTACGCTGTTTGCTATGTGAATGAAGCAAATGGTGCCTCTGTCTGTTTGAATACGGATAAAAACGAACAGCATTATGCGGAACCGCTACGTCGCAGCGCTACTTCTGCTCAGCAGCGGTAGCAATGTCCTTGCGAAGCAGCGCACGACAGACGAGTTTACTTTCAGCTGCGATCCGTTGACGACTCAACTGTCCGACCCAATAGTCGCGCCGGGAAAGCCATCTACGCATACACATGTTGTTACCGGGGGCACAGCATTCCAGAGAAGTATGAATGAGAGCACGGCGCAGAATGCAAAGGGGACGACGTGCGAAGTGGATATTGATAGGAGTAATTACTGGGTTCCGCAGCTTTATCATCGCATGAGGAATGGGTCGTTCGAGCTCGTGGAGTATCAGTCCAGTGTAGGTATTGCTTTGGCCTTCGTTGAGAGTCCTGGAAGCTCGGTTGAGGGTCGAGAGGAACTGGCTAATGAGTTAGATAGAGTATTTATTACTTTGATCGAGCGTGTAATTATACGGCCGGTGCTACGGATTGTGATGAGAAGCTGGTTCCGCTGGCGCCGCCGAAAGGTCTGCGCATGCTTGCTGGGGATCCGAGTCTTCGGTTTGTTCGCCTGTTCTCTATCCCGATGTGTGACAGTGCTGATATCAGAATGGGAACAGGACCTATAATGATTCGAACTGGTCCCAGCGTGCCATCAGTCATATGTGCATTGGCAAAGATGGAAGCTCGAATGAGACAAAAGGCTTGCCTCAGCAGCCTTGTGAAATGTTGAGGTCGCAGGTTTTTATGCCCTCCTGCTGGGATGGAGAGAACCTGGACAGCTCCGATCATCAAAGTCATGTAGGTGTCGTTGTCTGTGAGCACTTGTGGGATTTCTGACAGTACTTGTAGATGGCGTATCCCGACACTGGAGACTATAACAAGGGTGTTTGTCCCAAGTCTCATCCCGTTGCGATATATTCCATCTTTCTGGAATTCTTTTTCAACACAGCACCCCATCCAGACTACAAGAACTGGATATATGCGACAGGTGATGAAACCGGATATGGCTTGCACGGAGATTTCATGTACGGTTGGACAGACCAGGTCGCCTTGCAGCAAGCTATAGACACCTGTACCGTTCCGCAAGGATTGACCGACCCAGACTGCTCGATAACGAGGAACCAAACGAGAGACTTGGCCCCAATGCCGCAACCATTGGATGTTCCTGCACCGAAAGACAACATCGGTCAACATGGCCCCGTTAACAGATTGCCCGGTCACCGTAACTGGGCGACTAAGCATGACAATTCGACATTGCATGGGTGAGCTAGGCCTGCATACGTCGACATCGAGTTCGTGTATATAGCTTTGATGAGGTGACGTAGTATCGACATTAAACTGCACACATTTCCGTGACTGTAAACTGCCGATATTTGGATGACCTGGCACGCGAGGGGAACAGCTGCTTGTGTTGAGGCATCTAATTGTGATGACTAGTATGCTGGTTTCAGAACCGCGAGTCCAGGGTCTCAGATCTTGCAGAGTGCCAGGCTGAATGATATCCAAGGGAATAGGTAGCCATCAGGAGAGCCCAGTCCATGAGTGGAGTATGCGCTTGCAGCGATCGCAAAATCAACCAACGTATCCCATCCCCTTTCTCCACCATTTCCAGACACCTCGTTGTTCCATTAAACTCCCAAACTCCTTGACGGTTTCTACCTCAGATACACCGGCTCTTATATCCCTCATTTTTGTCTGGTGGTGTGACTGCTTCTGATCACGAAGGTTTGTCTGATTCTCGTCGTGGAGGGGTCCTGGTCGCGTGGCTAGTTGAAAATCCTTGTACCGAAGTTTTCGAACGACAGTCACCCAAGACTCAACAGCGATTTGGTCTCTCGCCTCGACATACATTATCCCTGGACAACCACCGGAGCGTAGAAGCACGAAGCAATTGTGTATATCGGCTGCGCGTTTCAGCGCAGACACCTTTTTGCGGGAGGTGATATGGTGGGTTCGGATGAGGGCGTTGTAGAACATCGTTCTTTGTTCGAGTTATTCGGGTCAAGCCATTAAATTATGATTGATATGTGACATTTCTGCGATGGACAGGTAGCAAGATTTTTTGTGGTGAAAGAGCTGGTAGCCGACCGTGAGTGTGGTGATGTTTGCTCGTAAAGTGATTGGTAAAGAGAGGGAATATACGGAAATACTTGGGGCTTAACCGGCTGGGTCTGGGTCTGGACGTGCTATGGGCGGCAATCGCGTGTCGCGTGACCTGGATGAGCTATTTCAATGCCCTGCCAATTCTTTGAAGTGTAAAGAGAAGGTGAAAGAAGGTGGAGGATGAAGGGCAGCCACAACTTGAGATCTCGGCTTCTGCCAGTGCGGGAACGCCCAGTCAGATGACCGCGGCTGAGCAAACCTTTGTTGACTCTACTTACTACTAGTACTTACTCATTAAACTTAACATGATCTTCAATGGTGTATAGTCGGGCTTGTGCCTTGTTTTCCGCTGCTGAGCTACAGTACAACGAATTACCTTTATATGAAGCCTTTGTTCTTGGATGTCTGCGATTACTAGTAGGCCATTATGTCCCAATGCTTCATTTATATAGCTATAGTTCAGACAATGTTTCAGGGTTGGGGAATACCGAATCTCACCTCACTAAGTTCGTAGCTCATAACAGATGCTGGAATATAAAAACGATGTCAAGTGTCCAGGCTTATCTGGAGCTCTGGATCTGGTGTCCATATACCCTTCTATTACTGGTGACAGCTGACAATAGCCATCGGTATTCCACTCGTCATTCCATCCCTGCTCGATAACATCTGGCCAAAGCGAATCTCGCCACCTTTGAATCCCTCGACAGCCACAATGAATCTCCCAAATCTCCCCCAAGAGATCTTGCTGCTCATAATAACTGAACTGCGTTATGCAAATAAATTTGGGGCCATCGCAAAGCTTTGCCAAACTTGCAAGACAGTTTGTGCCCTTGTCCAGCCCGAATTGTTCCGTCAAGGCCCACAATGGCTTATCTGGAGCGATGGAAGGGTACCTCCGTACAAGGTTGATATGGTTACTCTTATGCGCTTCATAGAGGCTGTTGTTGAACGGCCTGAATTGGGCACCTTTGTACGCAAATTGGATATGGATATATTGTTCTTTCCGAGATTTGATTCACTGCAGAACCTGCCATTTGGGCCCCGGAAGGTCTCAATGGAGACACTGATGAGAGCCTATAACCATTTTCCAGCGGACTGGAAGCAGCGACACCTGACAGGCAATGCGGGAATCCATCCACTTCCGTTGTTCATGCTTCTAATATCCCTGACGCCCAACTTGCAAGAATTGGGACTCAGTTATATCGAGACAGGATTGGGTGGATTGGAGCTGCTCTGGGAACGAGATTCTCAGGGCATACGCCGCTATGATTATCTCCCCAACTTGAAGAAACTTGTTATTGTTCTGGAAGCCATGTCCCACGAATCATTAAGAAATCTAATTCATCTCATGCACCTACCCACACTGAATGAGCTTTCTATATGTGGCGCTGACGAGCATGACCCTGGCTGTCCACCTTTTAACCTCCTCCAACCCGAGTCTCTCAGCATTACGATGCTAGACCTAGGAGCATCTACGTTTACTCCCCCCCCCCTATTGCGCCAAATTGTTCGTGCATGCAAGTGTTTGAAGGTTTTCTGTATCAGTGAGGCAGTAATAGACAGAAAGTGTCGACATGCTTCCCGGGTCAAAAGATCAAATATATTATCGATCTTGGAGGCCCATAAATATAGCCTTCTAAAACTCGAACTCAACTACAATGAATGCGCGCCCAATCCTGGAGATCCAGATTGGAGTCACTATGGCTCGTTTACGTCCTTCATAAGCCTCAAAGTCCTTCAAGTGGAGCAAAGTGGCTTGCGAGATGTCCCAGATCTCCCGAACTCTCTAGAGAGTCTGAGGATAGTTGAATGTGACCGCCCTGTGTATATGTTTCTGGCTAGCCTGTTATCGAAGAGCAAAAGCGATCGGTTATCTCTGAAATACGTCCGGATATCCGAAAAGTGGGAATACCACTGTAGGGATCAGAATTGGATCCTCGGGATTAAGCCTACTTATGAGTTGGATAAGACTGCGGAGGGTAAAGCAGCAATGATGGAGGCATGCCGACGCTTGGACAATCTCATCAAGAAGGCGGACTTCTCAGTCGAGGTATTCGACTGCTCAGCCTGGGATAGATATGTCGCTGAACAGAAGACCACCAACGGGGGCGTTGTGGTGGACAACACCGCATAGGCAAACTCGCTTTGCCAGATCTGGGAAGGAGTATAGGTATATACGTGTCCAAGATGGAGGAGTCAGTTTGTCTTGATTTAGTTGGTACGTAATCTGAATAAATTACTTGGGTTGCTACGTGGTTTCCTTCCTTAACAGCTATGCCACAATCCTTTCATGTAGGTCTGGCTTTAGGATGCTTCACTAGTATCATTTCTGAGTGAGAAAATATGATAAATCATTGTACCTGTAGCAGTAACGATCCATTCATGCCAAAACCTGTACAACTATGGTCATACTTTGGGGACTTGTAGCGTGGCGGTTACTAACCATGATGGCCGACCCGAACATAGCACTATATAATGCCCATTATTATTGGATCAGTAGTCCCAGCTGGACACTCACTATGGTATTCGGATCCTCGCTAGCAACCGAAATCCTATCAGTAATCTATCCAAACCCTATAAAAAGCCAATGTATAAGATGGTATCATATCGCTATGCCAAAACAAAAAACAAACCAAGAAACGTTCACCAACCCCACATAATATCACACCCTCACCACCTGTAGTGAAGAAACAATCTATATATAACAACCACCACCAATACAGAACCAAACCTAAACCCCAAGCACCACCCCCCAGAAACTAACCGGCATCGGAATGGATTCAATCGCCTCCGGCAGTCTACTATAATTCAAAAACCACGGACTAGTATAATAGCCCCACGCGGCCACGAACGCCGCATCCACGAGCCAAATAACGACTCGAGAGATGTTACTCTTCGCGGGAAGGACACGCGGCAGAATCTGATCGGAAATAATCTGCTGCACGACCACACATGCTGGCAGAACGCAGAAGAAGAACATCATCATGGACGCGGCGAACCAGTCCTTCGAGACGGCGTAGGTGCCGGCTGCGTGGACGACGCCTGATACCATGAAGGAGAGGCAGACGACGAGAAGGCGTTTGAGGCCTAGGGGACATGAGTCTGGGATGAGGGAGAGGGAGAGGGCTAGCAATGGGCGACGGCAGAGGTCGTGCCACATTTTGCCCCAGATGTCTGGATGTTTACTTCTTTGTTATTCTGCTGTCCTTTGGAAGGTAAGGGGGGTTAGGTGACTTGCCTCGTAAGCTAAAGGTGAACATGTATCGGATCGCCCCGAAGACAGGGGGATACATCCATGGTTCCGCTGCGAGCTGTGGAGAGATGATCCGAAGCACACCGACGGAAATTACGCCGGTGGCGGCGTGAATTCCGTCTACGAAGGCGTAGGAGGCCATCCAGTGTACTGGTGGGAGGATGAACAACCGAATTACGCCCTCAGTCGTGGCCGGGGATGCTTGGATGTTCAGCACATTGGTCAGGAATGTCTCTACGAAGTTGCTGACGCTGGAGTAGTTCCGTCCAATGGCTGACTGATACGAGTCGATGATAAAGTAGGCTACGAGAGCCCGAACGATCTTGCCTCTCAAGAACGAGAAGCGGTCGTCATCCGCTACCAGGACGATGTCCTCGCGTTTAGGAACGCACCCATTTGCGCCGTCCGGGACAGCTTCGAGCTTCCGAACGGGAGGCTGGTACTTGGGAGAGCCGTAGCTCCAACCCACAGCGCGCGGGTTGATGATTAGATCGCAGATCTGAACAAAGCGCTTCCACCCTAGCGTGGGAGATATGGGTTCCCATGTATATACGGGTGAAGAGGATAGGTAAGACATCCTTTGCAGGCGCTTCAAGTGACTCAGATCATGGACCAGGAGGAGCTCCACAGCGCGAATGACAAAGGAGGTGGAGAGAAATGCATTGGTATATCTTATAAAGTCCCTGGTATCGGGCGGGTAGAAAATGGCGCAGCAGGCGCTGAGGACGATGATGCCATAGAGGGTGTCTCTCAGACCCGGAAGCAAGGGGAACTTGACATGTAGAAATAAGGCCGCAATCAAGGCCGGCAGGGTGTACATGTTGTGGAAGAGGTGAGTTTCAGGGCGGAAACTCCAGGAGATAACACCCGCATGCGGAAAAGACAAGAAAAATAAAGCAACGCGATCTAAGCTGAGGTGAAGAGGTGTTGAAGGTATTCAGATAACATGGTTGGAGTGGCGGCGATTGGGTGTCTTTTGGCGCGGCTGATCATCCGCGCGGGCCCGCATTAATCAGCGCGGTATCGGAATCTGATATCCACTCCGGCTTCCCACTTTCGGGGATATCGGACAACTTGTTGGACTGTGTGCCGGATCATCGTGATGGGGAGAGTGACGAACTGTGCCTCGGAAATAATGGGACTCTCATAATGTTGCGCACGAGGCAGTTATACCCCTCTCCAACGAAGTCGGCTTTCAAATCCGCCTGTTCCCGGCGGACGACAACTGGCGAGAAACTCCGTGGAATAGCGCAAATGTCAGGGCTGACTGTTTTGGGCCTTTTTTGAATGTCCATCCTCAAGCTGCAGTGCGCAGGCGACATGGTATTGTCTCGCTGTCTTGCATTCAAGTATGCTTGTCTCCACACCGCAATAAGAAGCTTGTATGACACTTGCGTAAGATATCTATAGGAATAACCTACAAGGCTCGCAGTGTAGTCGCCGAGTGAGGTCTTTGATGCGGTGTAGACACCGGATCAGTCATCGCCATGGACATGATCGTCCGAAGCTATGTTGATGTTGCGGTCAATGCCTTGCATATCGGTAGATCAAGTCTGGAGCTAGTGGATAACCTCGCGAATATAGCGAACCCACTTCACAATGGCAAAGGCCATGTATATATTGTATTTGACTCACATTTCAACCTGAGGTGTCTGCATGTCTTCCATGATCGCATAGTTATCCGTAGAGATGGCAGTGGCAGAAAATAATTCATCATATGACTACTC